CGAATTAAGTTTAATTAAAATATAGTGTCAGGGATCTGATAGATTATATAAAATTTAAAATAAAAAATTTTCTCGTGTTCCTGTTTAGAAAAGGAATATCAGTTCCTGATATACTTTAAAAATATTGGGTTCACGATATTACTATAATATCGATACCTGAAAGAATCTAAAAAATATCATGCTCCCGATATTACTATTTATTATCATATACCTGATATTAATAAAATATCGGGTGCCTGAGATTAAAACAAAATTTATCACATAGCTATCGGGCACATTATAAAATTTACAAAAGTACTATCGGACCTTTAAAAAAAAAATGCAGATATCGAGTACCCGATATATATAAAAATATTTCATGTACCTGATGATTTTCCAATAATCAACTGATATTTGAAAATATCAAAGGCCGATATCTGATATTCGAATTTTGACCTGTGTTCAGAATATATTCAAGTTCTAACTCTAAGGACAAAAACTATCTCTATTTATACAAGATTGCTATCCTGTCGCAAGACTATAATTACTAAACTCAAGAAAGTTTCAGAAATTTCTGTAATATTCCAGGAGGTTCTATAAACTATTTTGACTAATGAGTTATTTGTACTAGAAGTATTTATCAGAGGTGATGACCAGAGGTGTTAATCAAAGATATCAACCAAGGATGTCAACTTCACGTCACAATAAAATAATCTACATCTGTTACTTGTAAATAATAATATTAATATATAATATTATACAAATAAAAAAATCTAATTAATAAACTATGCTATTGAATATAATAATATTAATAAATAATATATATAAGAATTAAGAAATAAAGCTAACACTATCTAAAAATTTATTAAAGATAATAACTTCAAAGAATTAAAAATAGAATTTCAGTATCATTTCTCATTAAATATCCTATAAATTTTTCAAATAATTTTTAAATATATTCAGATAAGAATCGAAAAAATCCAATATACAAATATATTCACATAAATTTGTGAATTTATTCAAATTTTTTCTAAATCAAAAAATATCTGAATATATTTATTCCCAAAAATTTTTTGATAATAAATATATCTAAATATATTTGAGAATCAAAAAAATTTAAATATATATGAATATATTTACATAAATTCACAAATTTATTTAAATTTTTTCTAAATCAAAAAATATCTAAATATATTTGTTCCGGATATTTGAAAATTGAAAAAATCTGAATATATATAAATATATTTACATAAATTCACGAATTTATTTAGATTTTTTTTAAATTGAAAAATATCTAAATATATTTATTCCCAAAAATTTCCTGATGTAATATTTGTTAAAAGAATTTAGATAGTCTGATTGGGTTAGAAGAACCACTGGAAGATATATTATTTGAAATTGAATTACTACTTACTTGAATTAGATTTTTCAAAAGAATATTATTAGGTAAGGTGAGTAGTGAATTATTGTCAAAATTATTTCTACTATTTCTGTTAAAATTTCTTTAGGATTTGAAATAGTTTTTACACATATGTCTAAAATTGTCACAATTGTAACAAGATAATTGAAACTTATTATCATTGTTGCTATTATAATTATTAATACTAAAATTTTCAACCAGTCTGAAGTTTTCTTTCTTTTGTAAATTGTTTACTTGAGACATTATAACATTTCTAACTTTGGTCAATTTATAAATTGCAGCTTCTATCAGATTAGTTAAGGCCAGAAGATTCACTATTATAAGGTTAGCTTGGAATATAAGAAGTAATCAGACCATTTAGATTATAGGATGAAGCTGGAATATGAAAATTCAAAAGAGATGCATAGGTGTGATTCTAGTTATAAGCACTCTCATATACTTTCGCTCTACTGTATGCATCAGGAAAATTGGCCAAAGTCAAAGTAGATACATGGATACAATATTCTGGATAAAGGCCATTAACAAAAATTTGAACTTTTGTAAAGTCAAGATAAGCATGTCCTTCTGCTTCAATTCTCCTAAGCAATTCTTCCATCTTATTATAGTAAGAATCTACATCTTCTCTAGAATATTATTTTCTTTAGGTCAGTTGGGCGAATCATTTGACTTCTAGAGCAGCAATCCTAAATCGCTAAATAAAGAGAGGTTGAAATTTTCAGTTTTAATAGTTAGTATCGTTCTATCTATACATGTTCCCAAAATTGATTTTGGATTTTTAAGGTATTTCGCCTTTTTGAGATTTATACAAAATCTATTCTATATATAGAAGTAAAAAAAGTATCTAGTTATATGTATCTTTAATCAAAGAATAAATTTGGGTGGTCAAAAAATTTGGGGTTTTAAGTAAAATAATTTTGTCTTCTATGAAAAACTATTTCGACTTTTTTCTCCAAAATTGTAATTTCGGGGCCCAAAATAATTTTACGTGCAAGTATAGTTCTATCTGTTTACTATTGAATTCTGGTTCTTTCTTATAGTTCCCCAAATAGTAGCAGAACCTTTAAGTTAGAAAGTAATAACAACAATCTTTGTATTAAAAAAACATGTTAGTATCAAAGACTTTTTCTATTTTTTCTATTCAGGTAATTGAATCTTGATTTCCACTAAAGAAGTTCAGATAAGGTACTAAATTCATCTCCCAATTTGAAATCCAATATTGACTACTGGAGATTGGATATTTTATAGCTGTAATACTAGAGTAACCAATTAAACAACAAATTGATCTAATCCTTAAAGCTATTGATTTATTATTTCAGGAGGTGTATAGATAATTATTTCTTGTTCTTCTTCTAAATCTTCTTCTTCTATTTTAGACTTGGTATTGTAATGTTCTGGAGTTTCTAAATTGGAAGAACTTTTGAATGAAAAAGGAGATCAGAACAATGGAAATTTAAAGGTATCAGTAAAAAGGGTTTTGAAACTTATCTTGAACAATTCTATTTAAGAATAGATAGGATTTATTTATATTTTTCACACAACTGGTACCAAATTAATACTATCTGTTGGAAGAGTGAGAGGGCAAGTACAACAAGTGCTTGGATTTAGTCTGGTAGTTATCAGTATATTTTGAAAGTATGGAAAGACAAATAATAATAAAGTAATTAATTTTCTATACTATAGAACAATAAAGGTAAGGAAACAAAGATAAAACAAAGAAAAAACAAGTTAAAGGAAGAATAGTGAATACAGAGAAGAGAAAATATGACAAATTCTAATCTGATGACAATAAGAAACAAAATAAAATAGTTTCACTAGAACTTTGTAAAGATTTTAAAGGATGGATAGGTTCAAGGAATGAAGAAAATGAGTTTCAGCCAAGTCATGTGACAGTTTAAGTGAAGAATTGAAGATTAATGGTTTATTTAAGACTCTAGATTATATAATATAAATTTTACTTATAATTTATAAACAAATACAAAGGAATAAATAAACATGTATATTACTTATTTATAGACAAGATAAAGATTTTATTAAGAAAATAGAAAAATACAAAAAGAAATAAAGAAAATAAAGAAATCTATTCTAAGTTTGTTCAAAAACTATTTAAGAATTTTAATCAAAATTCATTAATTATTTTATTAACTAGTTGATTAATTTATTGAATGAATGATTAATTAATTAAAAAGAATTGATTTCTGTTATATGAGGAAGAAAAATTAAAGCTACTTTTATAGATATTTCAATTCTATTCTAAAAATATAAATTAATTTATCAATTGATTATATGATGAAAGAAGAAAAAAGAAAGAAAAAGAAAGAAAATAATAAAATAAACTCAATTCCGGTCATGCTTAGCTTCTTGACCGCTGTGAAAATGATAGCAATTCAAAACATTTACATCTTTACCTTGGTGAGTAGTCTTTCATTAGGAAGAGTGGTCACCATCTAAACAAAATGGTGATTTCTACAGTAATCTACAATAGACTGTAGTATCCACAGTTTGCAGTATATCAGAAGTTATGTGACATATGACAGGCACAGCTGAAAGAATTTATAAATATAAGTAGGGAAAGAAAATAAAGAATCAAGATTTTTTAAAACAAATTTGAGATAGAGTGAATAGTGAAAAGGACGAAAATGAAGTGGGTAGTATTATACATGTTCCCAAAATTGATTTTGGATTTTTGAGATATTTCGACTTTTTGAGATTTATGCAAAATCTATTCTATATATGGAAGTAAAAAAAATACCTAGTTATATGTATCTTTAATTAAAGAATAAATCTAAGTGGTCAAAAAATTTCAGGTTTTAAGTAAAATAATTTTGTCTTCTATGAAAAACTATTTTAACTTTTTTTCCGAAATTGTAATTTCGGGGCCCCAAAATAATTTTGTGTATAAGTATAGATAGTATAATGTAAATGAATAAGTGAAGGTAAGTAGTAATAAGTATTAATAAGTAATATCAAAAAAAGAGAAAAAGGAATAGAAGGGGCAGTATCACCGGTGGTTCTTGGTTTTCTCAAGAACAACCTAGTAGAATAACTTAACGGTTCTTTTAAGGAGTTTATAATCCTTTTCTAAAGGTAAGACTGTTGTTCAATTGTTTTAGAAAATACCACTGATTCAATTATTTTAGAAAAGAAATCAGATCTTTCATCTAATTTATTCCAATATCTTTTCAAGTTCATTATCATCTTTAGTGTTAATATCCATCCATTAGTCTTCTTTTAATTTTATCAACTTTAAATATTATCTTCAATTATTCAAGTTAATTATTATTTCAAGTTCAGGATTTATAATAATAGTTTATAATTAATTTCATTAACTCATGAATAATAATATTATACAATTATACAACCAAGTATTTAATCCCATAATATTCATTATTCCTTTGTTAACTATATATTTTATCATTTAATAATTATCTTTTTAATTTATATTTCCAATATTTATTGTTTTATTAATTCCATTGCAAGGTAATTTTTACAAGTATTTATCTTGGAGTTACAAATTATAAAATTAAATTCATTAATTTCAAATAAGTTATAAATTATCAAAATTCAAAATTATAAAATTATAAACTAAAGAATTAAAGTAAAACTTGATCCTTTTTATAAGTATTGTAGGTGATCTACACTACTGTGCTATTACTGTGCCATACTATATCCTATTGTACCTTACTGTGCCTTACTGTATATTATTTTTACTGGTTAATATATTTATAATTTAATTAAATTTATATAATATTAATTAATTTGTTAGATTAGGAATAATGTAATGATAATTAATATTATATTATAATTATAAAACTATATATATATCTTGATAATTTCATCTGATAACAACGATATCGCAGGTGTTATTGTTAATATCCACTCAATGGTTTTTTTAAGGAGTTTATAGTCCTTCCCCAAAGGTACAAGACTTTCAGTTTGATTATTCCTTGAATTTAGAAGACACCAGTTAGTTTTTAAATAGAACTAACAAACTAATATTCATCCACTTTAATCATACTATATCTATTTCAATATTATATCTCTCAACTTCCAAACTTCCTTAATATTATTTATTCATAATTTCAGCATAACATCCTT